ACTGATGATGTCACTCATGAGAGATCTAAAGTAGTCAAAATCAGGAGTGCCCTGGTGGCTTAGTCAGTTAAATGGCTGACTTCGGCTCAGGTCATCGTCTCACAGTTTGTGAGTTCGAGCCCCGCATCGGGCCCTGTGCTGACAGCTCAGAGCCTGGAGCCTGCTTCAGATTTTGTGTCTCCCTCTCTCTCTGCCCCTCCCCTGCTTGCACTTGGTCTCTAAAAAATAAAAGAAAAAAGAAAAAAAAAAGTAGTCAAATCATAAAAACAAAGTAGAAAGCTGTTGCTGGGGGAAAGGGAAGAGGGAATTAATATACACATAGTTTTAGTTTTGCAAGATAAAGTTCTAGAGATCTGTTGCACAACATGAATGTACTTAACACTAAACTGTACACCTAAAAATGTTTAAGATGGTAAATTTAATGTTATGTGATTGTGACCACAATTAAAAATAAATTAGGGTGTCTGGGTGGCTTAGTTGGTTAGATTGTATTATGTTAAATTAAAGCAGTCAGAGAAAAGACAAATACCATAGGATTTCACTCATATGAGATCATGACCTGAGCCAAAACCAAGAGTCAGAAGCTTAACCAACTGAGCCACCCAGGCACCCCGGGAAGGGAATTCTTAAAGTACTGTAAAAGCATGAAACGGAAGGCAAAAACAATTATTAGTTTGATTACATAAAATAGTAAGGATTTCTACTCAAAGAGGATACAACAGCCAAAATTAACAAATGAGTAATGAACTGGGAGAATGTATTTGTACCCTCCAAAAATATGAGGTTACTAATCCAGACGTACAAAGAGGGTCTTGTAAATCAACAATCAAAAGAGTCTTGAGTGCCTGGCTGGCTCAGTCTGAGAGCATGTGACTCTTGATCTTGAGATTGTGAGTTCAAGCCCCGTGTTGGGTGTAGAGATTACTTAAGGGGAAAAAAGAAGGGGGGGGGCGGTCATTGATAAAAGAGCAAAGCTTATGAATCAGCAATAGAGGGTGAAATCTAAATGACTAAAAATATAGGGACAGCTAGCTTCTCAAGTTCAGTAATTAGAGAAATACAGATCTTCAACAATGGGATACTATTTTACATCCATTATGTTGGAAAAAATTAGAAAAGTTGAGTGAGAGGTTACCTGGGTAGCTTAGTCGGTTAAGCATCCAACTGTATTTATTTACTTCTTTCAGAGAGCTAGAGAGAGCGAGCGAAGAGCACGAGCATGAGTGGGGGAGGTGCAGAAAGGGAAACAGAATATCTGAAGCAGGCTCCAGGCTCTGAGCTGTCAGCAGAGCCCAACTTGGGACTTGAACTCAAACCACGAGATCATGACCTGAGCCAAAGTCAAGACACTTAACTGAGTCATCTAGGTGCCCCGGTGCCCCAAGCATCCAACTCTTGACTCTGGCTCAGGTCACTTGAGACTGAGCCTGGCATTGAGCTCGAGCTGACAGCGTGGAGTCTGCTTGGGATTCTCTCTCTCTTCTCTGTCCCTCCCCTGCTCACACTCTCTCACTCTCAAGATAAACTTAAAAAACAAGACGTAGAAGTGGGAACTCCAGTCAAATATACAAATAGCCAAAGTACTTATGACAACAGAACTCTGACCAACAACTTCTATAGCAATTAGCCTGGGAAGCCAAACCACCTTTGCAGCAATTGGCCCAGGATGGTCAGACTTGGTCAAGGACTACCAAATTCCCTATGTTGGTTCCCATTTCCAACTTGGAACCAACCAGAGAAGCCATGTATGTTCCCCAAAACCCGGACATAAGATGCCCTGTTTGTAGTTAGCTTCCCATGCCAATAACTTTCAGTAGGAGCATATGGAGCCTTCCCTTTAACAATGTAAAGCTCTTCCACTCCCAGCTGCCTTTGAGTCTGTGAAATACTGGCCATGGAGGCTGACTACTTTATCATAGCTAGGTCTGAATGAATACCACGGGTTTGTTTTCATCCAGGTGGTCTTCACCTATTTTCACAAAATAGAACCATTGTGAAGAGCAACGTGGCAATACTGAGAGGAATTAATCATAAGCTCACTTCAGGAGCCAACAGGTACTCTTTTTGAGGTCCATATGGGGTCAGAGACAAAGATGTTCATAAGCAGCATTGTTGCAGGGTGGGGTGGGGGGTTGGAGCAGCCTGGGTGTCCACCACTAGACAAAGTGATAAAATAGTGTGGATAAATACTGTAAAATTCACTAGAAATCTTGAGTCTTATGTACATACCAATATATACATCTTTTTAAAAATATATAAGATCCAAAGCATAATTCCTTTCACATAAATTAGAAACACCATCACTCACAAAAGGACATACTTTAGAAGAAAAACATCAGTGAACTATAGGACTATTAGTGGATGGGAACCCTTTCCAGGGAAGGGAACGTAGGAACGAGGGCCAGATAAAAGGGAAAATACAAGAAGTTTTGTAGACTTGATAGAGTAGCAAGGACTAAAGGATATTACCAACGGTGTTTATTTTTTAAATAAAGTTTATTTTGAGAGAGCGCACATGTGCACCAGCACGAGCACAAGGAGGGGAGGGGCAGAGAGGGAAAGACAGAATCCCAAGCAGGCTCCTCACTGTTAATGCAGAGCCCAATGCGGGGCTTTAACTCACAAACCACAAGATGATGACCTGAACTGAGATCAAGAGGCAGACACTTAGCATTGGACTTTGGCTTATGTCGTGATCCTTGTGGTTCCTGAGTTTGAGCCCCACATTGGGCTCGCTGCTCTCACCAGAGCCTGCTTTGGATTCTCTGTCCCCCTCTCTGCCCCTCCCCTGCTTTTGCTCTCAAAAAAATTTAAGTAATCTCTACACCCAACTTGGGGCTCAAACTTACAATTCAGAGATCGAGTTGCATGCTCTACCAACTGAGCCAGCCAGGGGCCCCCTACTGTCTACTCTTGTCTAAAAATTCTTACCCCTCCACACACCAGTGGAAAAAGCAACTTAAATACTATTCCCAAGTAAATCCCACAACAAAGGGGGTTTTGACCTTGTAGGTGTAGGTTTAAGTAAGCATCCAAGTTGGAGAGGATTACCTAACAGGCTTGTCTCTCAATCTGGTCATTAAAAGTATATCAGCATCAGCAGAATTGCTCCTTGACCTATAATTCTCCACCCTCACATGTCTACAGAAACAGGTTATTAGTCTAAAAGAAAGCAGTGCATGGGTGTCAAACGGGGTTCACAAACACTATATAAAGTTTCCTGGGGCTGCCATAACAAACTATAACAAAGTAGGTGGCTTAAAACAAAAACACACAATTCTGGAGACTAGAAGTCTGAAACTAGAGTATTGACAGGATCATGCTCCCTCCAAAGGATCTAGGGAAGAATCCTTCCTTGTGACTTAACCCTAGTTATGCAAGATGTTTTAACCACTGGGGGGAGAAGGGTGAAAGGTACATGGGACAGTACTATTTTCTCAACATCCTGTATCATTTCACAAGCAGAGCAAAAAAGTACTTTTAGTTTTACAAAAGTAAAGAAATACTAGGAGGGGCGCATGGATAGCTCAGTCGGTTAAGCATCAGACTTCGGCTCAGGTCGTGATCTCGCGGTTGAGTTTAAACCCTCCATCAGGCTCTCTGCTGTCAGCACAGACCTGCTTCAGATCCTGTAACCCTCCCTCTCTTCCCCTCCCCCACTCATGCTCTTTCAAAAATAAATGAACATTAAAAAAAGAAAACTGGGATTAAAAATCCTGTTAGCCAGTAATAGCAATACAATGCAGCAAAGTATGATAGTGGAGTACCTATGATTAATATCTTCAGTTTTCCCACCTACATGCTCACAACATAACTGAAAATGGACTCCTGTGGTGCTCATTCTAAAAACTGGGGTGGGGCAAGTGCCTTGGCTGGCTCAGTCGGTGGAGCATGTGACTCCTGGCCTTGGGGTTGTAACTTCGAGCCCCACACTGAGTGTAGAGATTACTTAAAATAAAATCTTAAATAAATAAAAATAAAAAATGGAGGACAACCAGCCTTACTTTAGATCTATTGGCCATAAAGAAGGATTTCCCATCTACTGAGGTGTATCATGTTGGGCACAAATATCACCTTGCAGAATCTTACAAGACACCCACGAGGAAGGAATGAACCCAGGTACAGATGAAAGAACTGAACTCAAGAAGCATTAGTAACTTGCCTGGGGTCACACAGTAAAATTAGAACTCCAAGCCAGGTGTACTGAGGCCAGGGCATTTGAAATAGCAATCAGTTTGCAGAAAGGCCCATGAAGGCCAGAGTCAGAAGGACTGAACTGAGAAAAGAAGTGTATTTCAAAAGCTGGACTTTTTTTTTTTTTTTTGTAAACTGAATATACTAAATAAGCCCTTGACACAAAAGCCATAAAATGATTACATCATTCTCTTAATTTCTTCAGTTATCAATACATTACAGATCATTTTTTTTATTCTAGACTAACAATTGACAATACATTTGACCTCTCCCTTGGATGGGTTTATGTAATAAAATGTAAAATTTAACTACATTAATAACAAAATAGATTAGAAAGTGTAAAATAGAAAACATAAGCAAATGAAGCATAATCAAAGGAAAAACATTTAATATAAAGATTCAAGATTGACATCATGACATTAAAATTGAATATCCTTCTCAAGACAAAAGTTCAACTTTTCCATCTGTTTTCTATTTAACTTCTCCTGTCATCTTTTTTCCAGTGCTTTTCTATTACTTTTACCCCACCTCTTCCTATCTGGTTACAGACAGATTCCATCCCTCTCCCCGGTAGTTTAGAAAAGTCTACTCCTATGCAAGCTACAATGATTAACACCATTTTAAAACACCCTTTAACAATGCCAACAAAGTAACCTTCCCTTCCCCTACTCCCCAAATACACTGTTTGAAGTCCATCCTCCTGGGTAGAAATGTGGCATTTTATTTTCAACCTTTCCTTATTGATTTTTGCTGTGGGAGGAAGGTAATATATATTGTGTACATGTATTTATAGTCATCCTAGAATGCTAAGGTAGATCCTCCAGTAATTCTTGCAACGAGGGTATGCAAGAAATAAACTTTGTGAATTCTTCAGTATCAAAAAATGTCTTTGTTTTACCTTCAAAACTGAATGCCAATTTGGCCGGGTATAGGATTTTAGGTGTAAAGCCTTTTGCTTGCAGAACTTTTATGATATTGCTCCATTTACTTCTAGCATCTAGAGTATCCAATGATAAATCTGCTGTCAATCTGATTCTTGTTCCTCTATAAGTTATCTCTCTTCTCTTTCTGGAAGCCTTTATGATCTTTTCTTTATCATTGGAATTCCCAAATTTCACCAAGATGTGTCTAGGAGTGAGTCTCTTCTCATCAATCTTACTAGGTATTCGGTAAGCACTAACAATCTCAAGACTTGAATCCTTTAGCTCTGGAAAGTTTTCTTCAATGAGTTCCTTCATTATTTCCTCTGCTCCATTTTCTTTATTATCTTTTTCTGGAATTCCTATCAAGCGGATATTGGAGCTTCTGGATCTATCTTCTATGTCTCTTGACCTTTCTCTATTTATTATCTGTTTGGCCATTTGCATTGTATCCTTAGAGAATTCTTCAATATGATCTTCTAGATTGTCCATTCTCTCTTCAAGTAGGTCTATTCTGCTATTGAGAACATCTATTGAGTTTTTTATTTCCAAGACTTCTGGAAGGTAACTTTTAATATTTGCAACCTCCTCCTGGATCTCTCTGAAGTTGTTAATTATACTTCTTCTAAAGTTTTCTTCTGTCTCTTGTATTAAGTCTGTTTCTTTAGATGTTTGCTCACCTGTTTGTAGAGTTTTCTGTCTCTCTTTCTCTGTTTTCCTTGAAAATCTGGAGATTCCTGATGGAGTACTTGATTTTGTATATACATGCCTTTTCTGCTCATCAGAACTTCTCTCCAGTGATTTTGAGGGAGAGACAAAACACCAAGTTGGACAAACTGTCCCAACTCCCTGGTTTCTAGGTGTAGCTGTTTCTTCTTTATTCTGGGTTTTTTGTAACATCCAGTGTTTTGCTAGTTTTTCCTTCTCAAAGTTGGGAGCCAAATAATTATAGGCAATTTCTTTAGGTCCATATGAGGCCTCTTTTCTCTCAACTGGGGAGGCAGGCTTTACATTTTCTACTTCAGAGTCCTCTCCTTCCTCCCACGATAGGACTACTTCCATTTCCCACTCTGAACCTTCTTCCTCCTCTGGCTCAGAATCTTCTACCTCTTTAATTAAAACAATTTCCAAGCCATTACTGGTTTTTTCCTCAACTCCACATTTTGTATTTACCAAAGAATGACACTGAAAGGTTGAATCCTGTTTCTCACATAATACTGAAGCCTCCTCTTCTTCTTCCTCCTGCAGCCCTGAAGCCTCTTCTTCCTCATCCAGCTCTGAGGTCTCTTCTCCCTCCTCCTCCATCCCTGAAGCCTCTTCTTCCTCATCCAGCTCTGAGGTCTCTCCTCCCTCCCCTTCCAGCTCTGAGGCCTCTTCCTCCTCTTCTGTCTCCCACTCTGAAGATTCTTCCTCCTGGGTCTCTAAGTTCTTCACCTCCTGTGGCTCAGCAACCTTAACCTCTTTAACAAATAGAAAGCTCAAGCCATCATCAACTTCCCCCCCAGCTCCATGCTTTGAATCTAGTAGCATTTTTCCCTGAAAGAAAAAAAATTGAACGAATAAATAAGTAGTATCATGTGCCTTTTATTTTTAAAAAAATTTTTTTTTTCAACGTTTATTTATTTTTGGGACAGAGAGAGACAGAGCATGAACGGGGGAGGGGCAGAGAGAGAGGGAGACACAGAATCGGAAACAGGCTCCAGGCTCTGAGCCATCAGCCCAGAGCCCGACGCGGGGCTCGAACTCACGGACCGTGAGATCGTGACCTGGTTGAAGTCGGACGCTTAACCGACTGCGCCACCCAGGCGCCCCTCATGTGCCTTTTAATGGAATTAATGCTTTCACTGTCTAAATTTAATTTTGACTGCCATTTTAACAATTATCAAATAAAGAGCTGGAAAATTATTTAGGTAATACTTTTTCTTGAATGCCTAAGTCCCCAAACAAGTCAAGCTTACTCTATGATTATCCCATCACACCTGCAATCTGTATAGCACTTGCAACAAATTTCCATCAGGTCATGTTTACTATGTTCCTTCTATATTCCCAACACTTAAGTGTTTTGTGCCTGACTGACTCTCAAGAACAACTTGTATTTGAATGTCTGAGTATATGCAGGACAGTATGGTAATGAGACTCTGCGATCTAATTTCAGGAATATTATCAACCCGCACCCCCCACTCACATTTACTTTTCTCCCAGAGGAAACAAAAGTAAATTTAATATTTCTTAAAGATCCCACTTTCAAGTTCCAGCCACATTGTTCAAAAGGAGGGCATGCTTTGGTTAAGAGTACAAGCTCCTAAATCCAGCTGTCACATTTGCTACTGGTGCCTCAACTTGCCCTCTAGAACAGCATCTAATGTAATGCACTACTTCAGATTATTGTGGAGGGTTAAATAGGACAGCCTAGGTACTCAACTTAAGACAATGTCTCCAATATAAAAGTTAACTCTTAACATTTCTTGAAACCCTGTACTTGCCTCTGAATATTCCGTTTAATGCTCCTTGTTACAGAAGGCTCTTCTTCCCTATTTGGGGTTGGTTGATAGATATTTGTCCTTCAACCTTCCCAGACTGTTTAGAACAGGTTAGTTGCCTCATCTGTGCAAATCTCCAGGGAATAATTTCTAGGATTAAATGCTGATTCTCAAATAAAGAATTTGTTGATCCAAGTGTATTTCCTAATTCTAGACTGTCATTTTGCAGAGATGTTATACTAGAAAATGTTGAGAGGGCAGGGAAATTAGGTACTCTTTTGAGAACCCAGCAAAAATACTGGCTTAAGCTACAGACCTCTGAAGATACAAATAAATAGAAAGATATTCTGTGCTCATGGATTGGGAGAATTGGTACTGTTAAATGTTTATACTATCCAAGGCAATTAGCAGATTCAATGTGATCTCTATCAAAATTCCAGTGGCATTTTTCATAGAACAATTCTAAAACTAGTATGGAACCATAAAGGACCCAATACCCAAAGCAATCTTAAAAAGAAACAAAGCAGGAGGCATCACGCCCTGGTTTCAAACTATATTACAAAGCTATAGTAATCAAAACAGTATGGTATATGGTATTGTCATAAAAACAGACTCATAGATAAATGTAAACAGAGAGCCTAGAAATAAACTCACACATATATGGTCAACTAATTTATGGACAAATGACCCAAGAACATGCAATGAGGATAGTCTCTTCAATAAGTGGTGCCAGGAAAAATGGAGAGTCACATGCAAAAGAATGAAACTAGATTACTATGTTATACCATACACAAAAATAAGAAATACACATCCAAGATGAAAGAGAGAGAGAGGGAGAGAGAAAGGGAATCTCTACAGTATACTACAGGCATTACCTTTCAAGATTGGGATTATGAAAAATATTCAGAAAATAGTGTTTTCAATGAAACCAATAAACATGGGAATATACTCTAATACAATGTAAGAAACAAAAACCTTTATACATGAAATGGATAACTGCTAAATATTAATATTAATGAACACTCTGATAGGCTTTAGTAAAATAGATTTGCATTTTGCTGAATGTTAATAAAGAGGACTTAGCAGGACTACTTTATACATTGAAATTTCAACCTAATTATACCTGATACTTTTTTTCATAATCCTATTGCTTGAGGGCTTTTAATTGAACTTATTTATTTCTATTCTTCCTCCTACTGTTTTAAAAGCCACTATTCTAGTGTTTATCCTTAAATACATAACATATATATAAATTCATTTTCTTTCAATGTCTATAATAAATATGTACAATCTCCTCTCAGAGCAACTCAAATCTTTTTAACCTATTCCAAGCTTTCAATGCCACCCATTAAAAGAAAAAGAGCCTTTAAGTCATTACTTTTAATGTCATGCTTTTACTTTTAAGGATTTTTTTTAAGGAATTCTTTCTTTTTAAGTATTTATGAGAAAAGAGAGACAGAGGGTGATCTGGGAAGGGGCAGAGAAAAGAGGGAGACACAGAATCCAAAGCAGACTCCAGGCCCCAAGCTGTCAGCTCAGAGCCCAACACAGGGCTGGAACTCACCAACCGTGAAATCATAACCTGAGCTGAGGTTGGATGCTTAACCGACTGAGCCACCCAGTCGCCCCTTTAAGAAAATATTTCTTAAAAATTGGTTTAAACTTCAGAATAACTTTACCAACTATTCTACTTCATACATAAACTCCAAAGATCTATATATACTTACCACTTTTTCTCGAATCCCGTATCTTCTTCCTCCTTTCTTTATTTTTTCACTTTGTGGGAGTATATCCTTCAGTAATTCTTTCATAAATGGTTTTTGGCTAGTAAAATTGCTGAGGCTTTGAATATCTGAAAAGGTCCTTACTTCACCATCACACTTAAATGCTAATTTAACTTGACATAGAACTTGAGGTTCAAAATCATTTTCCCTCAGAATGTTGAAGACATTACTCCATTGCTTACTGATGTCCAGTGTTGCCGATGAAAAGTCTGCTGCCAACCTAAGTACTGCTCCTTCATCTTCTCTGGAGGCTTTTAGAATCTTCACTTTATTATTGTTTAAATTCTGAGGAATTTTTTCCTCTCTTTTTGCTTTGACCACTCCACCCTCTCCAATCTCTATGTTCTCTCCTGTTACTTCCATATGGATCCTACTATCTCCCCAAGTGTTATCTATATTGCTTATGGCTTCTTCCATACTTTCCATGACTTTGTAATTTTGTGACTCATCATAGGACAGTTCCTTATCTTGGTTAGTACTGTACTCTTCAGCTTGGTCTAATCTGCTACTTGGCTCATTTATTTCTTTTCTTTTAAAAGTCAAATTTTCAACATCCTCAACTATTTTAGAGTTTGCTCCTTCTATGTTTTCTACCAATCCTTTATTTTGTGTGGCTAAACCTTTTATTTGTTGGCACTCCTTTTTGGTACTGGAGTTCTTTGGATTTTTCACTTCAGGTATTTTACTTTCTACTCCTAAAATTTCCTTTAGGTCATTTTTAAGAGAGTCCCTTATCTCTTCAACCATTAAATCCAGATTTTCCATCAAGCCTTTAAACTTCATCAGCACAACTGCTGACATGTCTTTGCATTTTAAATCTAATACCTGAGCCATTTCCTGGTCAGTTTCTATCAACTGAATTCTTTCCCTATGAGTGATATTTTCCTGCTTCCTTGCAAGTCTATCAATTTCTGACTGTATAAGGGACATTGTGGACACGTTTTTATTTTCCTGAAGAGTAATTTTTGTTCTTGAAGGTCTGCTAGACTCCCCCAAACTCAAATATCTTTAAAAAGATTATCTGAAATACAAAAAAAAAAAAGTAACTTGTTTACTTAACAATTATTTTGAGAAGCACAACGACCAAGAATATAAACGTGGTTATTAAGTAAACTGAGTACTCCACAATTTAATATAAAGGGTAAACCATAGGTTACATAGGGTAACACATGGGTATATGCACATAAACAACAAAAAAAATCAGAATTCAAAATTCATACAATATGATTAATACCCCATTCAAGTAAAGATTTCAATGCCATAAATCAACCAATAATTATGGAAATTGGCCAGTTTCCCATACTATTAACTTTGCTGCCTATGTTCGCTGTCAGGATCAAACAGATTACAGGAAAATAAACATTATTAAAACAGAGTGTACCAGGGGCACCTGGGTGGCTCAGCAGGTTGAGCATCCCAACTTTGGCCCAGGCCATGATCTCACAGTTCATGAGTTCGAGCCCCAGCATCAGACTTGCTGTTGTCAGTGCAGAGCCCACTGGGGACCCTAGATCCCCACCCCTCTCTCTGCCCCTCCCCTGCTCGCACTCTCAAAAATAATCATTTTTTAAAAAGAGTGCACCATACCAAATTTTTAACGCTTAAGGTGACTTGGATGGAATCATAATGGAAAAACAGAAGGCCCTTTTTTGATTGCAGAGAAAGTTAACATTAAGGATTTTTCTTAAAACCAGCTCAAGTCAATTAAGAGTATTACTTTCCAGAATGCAAATATTAATACCTGAGGGGAACAGAATAACTAAAATCCATGCCTACTCCCACGTCACAGAGGCCCTGGACCTTTGCTTGAGGAGACTCAATTAGGCTGTTCATTTATGTTTTTAATCATTCAACCCTGCTGCCCTGACCCTGCATGGTGGAAAGGGAGAAACCACTCCCATCCCTTCAGCCCTTAATTAACAGGGATGAGAAATGGCTATGCACAATAGACACACTTTGGACAACAGCTGGGATGCCTGTTCCTTAATCTTTTCCTCTGCAAAGCCTAGTAGGTATTCGTTTGAGTGGACTACTGTTACACTAAAAATTGTACCACATGCTGATTCATCACTGCTGTCAAGACCCAAACTGCTTGAACTTACAGGTATGAAAAGAAAAATTAGACCCCCTTCAAGAGGATTCAGCAACTTCATGGAAGGGGACTAAGGTAAATAAACAAAACTAGTAGCTATTATTGAAGCATATGAACAGAAGAGAAAGGGGAAATAGGACTCATGAGTGTTGACCATACCTTTGAGGAACAGAACCAGAAAACCTTCCAAGCATCTAATGGAAGGAGGATACAAACCACATATTGTAATAGAAAACTTCTCTGGACTGGAGTCATGTGATTGAAAAAAACAAAAATCACGAGATCTGGGGCAAGGTTAATAAAAGATGCATATCCATCTATATATAATCCTGGTAAAACTTCTGAATGCAGACATGAGCCATCCAAGTTCCCAGACATTCAATCACATTTATTGAGCAGACTATCTGCTATGGATAGCAAAGGAAAAAGATGTTGAGTAAAAATGGACATGGAACCTCCCCTACAAGGGAGTGAACATCTAGGGAGAAATAAATATCAAATGGCAACTGTGCCAACTTACAAAGTAAGGGTCGAGGGTCATGAGCGTCTATACCAGGTGTCAGCTGACATATTCAGGGAGATCCAGGAAGGCTTCCCTGCAAAAGTAGCTCACACTGAATCTGAGAAGTGAGCAGCAGCCACATGGCAAAGAATGGAAGAAAGTACATTCCAGAAGCAAGGCTGGAGCAAGCATCTGCTGAAGGGGAACATATAGCAGGGAAGGGGCATAGAGAGAGGGAGAAAGAGGATCCAAACAGAGCTCCACACTGACAGCTGAAATCCTGATGCAGGGCGTGAACTCGGGAACTGCAAGGTCATGACCTAAGCGAAGTAGGACACTCAACCAACTGAGCCACCGAGGCACCCCAAGGAAAAAAAAACAAAACAGGTTTTAAAGGAAGAGCAAATTTCGTTTAACATATCAAGCTTGAGGTGCTCTTGAAATAGAGAATGAGGTAAGTGGTTCTAAAACCTAACCTACCCTAGTTTCTGCTCTGCAAGATACACTTTTGCGAATCATCTGCCCATAGACAGTTAATTCCATAGCTAACAAACAATCCAGAAAGGAAAAAAAACAAAACTCAAATTAACCTGAGACAAGATGAGATGACAAGCCACATACTGGGGAAAAATATTTGCAAAAGAGACATCTGATAAAGGATTGCTATTCAAAACAGACAAAGGACTCTTAAATCTCAGTAAAAGTAAAATGAACCAGATTAAAAATGGACAAAAGAACCAAAGAGACACCTCACCAGGGAAGATACACAGATAGCAAGTCAGCATATGGAAAGATGTCATCAGGTAAATGCAAATTAAAATGAGATACCACTACATGTCTATTAGAAGGGCCAAATCCAAAATAACTAACATCAGGTGCTGGTAAGAATGTGGAGTAACAGCAACACTCATTTCACTGCTTATGGAAATGAAACAATGACACAGCTACTTTGGAAGACAGTTTGGCAGGTGCTTCAAAACGGAACATATTTTTACCATCGTGTTCCCTGGTATTTACACAAAGGAGTGGAAAATTTATATCCATACAAAAACCTGCATACTGAGGTTTAGAGCGGCTTTATTCAGAACTGCCAAAACTGAGAAGCAACCAAGGTATTTTTCAGTAGTTGGATAAACTGGGGTATATCCAAACAATGCAGTATTATTCAGGGCCAAAAAGGGATGCGTGACTAAGACATTTAGACAACATGGAGGAAACTAAATTGCAAATTTACCAAGTCAAAGAAGCCAACCTGAAAAGGCTACGTACTACAGGATTCCAATTACATGACATTCTATAAAAGGCAAAAGTATAGAGACAGAAAAAACACCAGTTGTTCTCAGGGACTGAGGGGAGGAAGATGAACAGGCAGAGCACAGAGGATTTTTAGGAGTGAAACTATTCTGTATGATAGTGGCGGACACAGGCCATGTACTTGTCAAAACTCACAGAAACTCATAGAAAATTCACTCACCAAGAGTGAACCCTAATGCAAACTACGGACGGATAATGATACATGAATGTAAATTTACCGGCTGTAACAAATGTACCACTTGGTGTGGGATGATGAGGCAGGGGCCATGCAGGTGTGAACCTAAAACTGTGAACCTAAAACTGTTCCAAAAATTAAGTTTGTTAAAAAAAAAAAAAAAAAATA